GACCCTCGCCCGAAAACATGAGGCCACAAGTAGGTGGAGTCGACCTATAGCAAGTTATACTCGTACACCTAGGTATCAAAAGATGAGGACAGAGTTTGAACGCGATTACTTTCTTTATCACAGATTGGCAAGCTTTGGAGCAAAAGATTATCTTTGGGCCGACCAAAAAATTTGGCCGAATTTATTTTTGACCCGTCGTTGTTGATCTTCCAATTGGAAGTTTGCCAGTCTGCTATGTTAAAGTTTAAAATCTGTCAACATGTTTAGATTCCTATTTATTTTTAGTTTTGAATAATAAATAAAACGACTTCCGAGGATAAGTTCCTTGCTTTATTATATATTTTATTCTCAAGTTTTCTGGTTTTGCAAATCTTTCTATAGAAGTATATGGATATACTCCTGTAGAAATATTTACAAAACCAGAAAGCTTGAGAATAAAATAGATCATGAATCAAGAGAAACTCATCCTCGGAAGCGATTTTATATTTATTATTTTAAATATTTCAGAGGATTTTACTTTTCCGTATTTAATTTTGAGCAATAATATTCGCTATTAACTATTTTTACTGATAAAGATAGGACTCGCGCGTCTTCTGTGGCATGTTTATATATATTGAAAGCAAGAATACAAAATATAATTACAGGGATAAAAGTATAGTATCCAATTAAAAGACGACATCCATATAATCTGGCTATGAGTTAAATGGAATCCTTGGTACAGGTTGGATCGGACACATAGGATCAGAAAACCAAAGTCACAATTGAAACTCTCGGCATAGGAATAATCAAAAGAGATGGACCACCGTCTGGTATTGTAAGATTGATTCTTGAAGTTATCAGGTAAATACAGCACAAGGTTTACGATGGTTCATCAGTAAATCAACAGACAACCTGCAAACTCTGATTTCCTATCTTACTCTCTTTGATTGTGAAGGCATTCTGCAATCAAAGAAACAAACTTCCAGTAAACAAGATAGTAATGATATAGATATGGAAATATAACAATGTGGGCAGCAATACTAATAGGACTATTTCCAAAAAATAAATTAGTTAAACTACTTATTTAGGTGGCTTTTTTGATAGCCCATTGTCAGACTATAGACTTGATCACTTGGACCTAGCCTAGGATGATCATTGCATCGTTGTCCATACATCTTGCAACTAGCGTCTAAAAATATTATGAACTGGCATATAAAGAAATAGTTAGGAGCTCACTCTCGGACTAGAAGTCTAGGAAGACATAGGCATCATTTCCTATACATCCTGTGAACTAGGAACCAGAGATAGTATGAAATATTATTACAAAGAAATGGTTAAGAACCCATTGTCGGATTAAAAGTCTTATCATACTCTATGGGCATGGCCCATTGGTGTATTGGTTGGGCACACTTGGAGACTCTAGAATTTTGCCTTCAATTCCAAACAAATATCTTACAATGTACTGACAATGTGCTGGATGACACAGATAGAATTGTTCATGCATCAACTAGCATACAAAGAAATGGTTAATAAAACCAACTGACAGATTATAAAGTTTTAGCCACGCACTTTGGATGTGGTTTGGAATAATTTATGTATAATCATTTTATTCGCAATCGAACGTTATAGCCCACTGTACGTATTACATCCCAAACACGATGCGACGCCAGCCATCTCTGTCTTGAGCTCGATTGTACCATCTCGGCGACCATCAAGCCAGTGAGGTCTTTTAATGAGGCGTGTCGGCGGACGTCCAGGTATGCTTCGCACAGACGTCTTTCCGGTCAGTATGGTAGGAATAAAATAGATGATACCATCAAAGAAATGGTTAAGAGAGTCCACTGGTAGATTAGAGGTTCGGCCATGCTTCATATAAGAATTGCGATGGTACATATACTAAAATTGGAACGATACAGAGAAGATTAGCATGGCCCCTGTTATACCAGTTCGGCGGCACAACTACTACAATAGGAAGGATACAGAGAAGATTAGCATGGACCCATGCGCAAAGAAAACACGCAAAATCGTGAAGCGTTCCATATATAAGCATTGTTGGCCGTGCATCCTGTGACTGGAGCCTGGGTGGGTGCAGATGTCCAGCAGGAGTCCAGCGAGGGCCCCCGCAATGCCGCTGCCCCCCGCAGGGCCCCTCACCTCGCCACCGCCGCCGCCACAGCTACCGTCCTGCTCCTGCAGTGGCCCTCCAAATTCACTGCCTGTTGTTGTTGTTGTTGTACATAGCCTGACAGCCTGCCCCCGCCGCATATTAAAGTGGATATTTTCAACTGGATTTCTTTGGTCCTACACTCCTTACACCCTAAATACACTCGTGGACAAAACTTAAAGAAGTTTCATATCTTAATGTCGCCAGTTATCTTTTTTTAAGGAGACAGAGGCAATTTTTTTACACTTGGTTATCTCGTGTGTCTTCAATAAAGGTCGCTGTGTCAGAGTTATTGTTTGATAGAATCCCGATATACATTCTAAAAGGTAAAAATTCCTTAAGTTTTGTCCATGAGTGTATATATATGAATATATGCAACAGTCTTGTTTCAGAACTATTCTCTAAAACTTGGAAGATTTTTTAATTCTTATTATTATCTCCAGTAGATGTGGTACAGACCATGATAATCATGGTGGGTAGAAGTTGGCGACTGCTTTCTACTGTAAGTGCACACCACATGTCTACACATGTGAGAAGCAGTTCGACTTTTGCACTTACAAATGTGCCAGAGCCCTGTTTGGTTACTTGCACTCGCCGTTGGTTGAGTTGGACTTTTGCAAGAATCGAGGGAGATTGAAGCATTTTTTAATTAGAAAAAAGTGCCCAATGCAGGATTCGACCCCGGGTCGTAGCGGTCGAAAACCAAC